GCCTTGTGGCCCATTGATCTCTTGATTGTAGATAATTGTGATCAGTCTCCTCCAAGGTTTGGAAATGACTGTGAATTTAGATGTCACTGCTCTAACCTAAGTGAGGTTTGTAATAAACTCACAGGAAGTTGTCAGAGTGGGTGCACTGATGGGTGGCGAGGAAATGGTTGCCAAATAAGTAAGTCATGTGACAAAATTGAACATGAACATGTGTGATGTACTAGATATAGTGCAAAAATTGAACATGTGTGGTGCTATGAAAACAATATAAATTTATATTTTTAAGTGGATACTTTCAGTTACCTCTACATTTGATAAGTCAACCATTCACGCAAATTTGTCCTCCCAAGAGTTAGTTCAATGCACCATTCATAAACTTTGGTACAACTGGAGCAGTATTTATCTCACTTTCTATAACGGAACTGAGACTACAACTCTAATAAAGGTGGCACAAAACGGCGATATATCGATATCAGACCTCAGACTTAATGCTACATTGAGCAGAGCACCTGGACTTGAGGCAGATAATGTAACCTTTATCTTCGACATAGGAGAGGATGACTGTGATTTGGCGGGAATTTATGAATGTCGATTTGATATGGTGGATGATTTCACTGCCTCCTACGCAAACTTGACCATGTCTGTACAAGGTATCATAATTTAAGATAATTTTTTTTATTCATTGAAATTATCGATGTGAAAAATTAATGAAAATGACTATTTTCTCCCCAAACTTAAAATTACCCCAATGAGCAGAAATGCACGTATACAGCTTTATAAAAGATTATATTTTTATCATACAGGTATCTCTTTCGGCCTTCAGATATCAACAAAAAATGAGTACTACAACGGTTCTACGGAATACATCAACTGCAGTTTACAATTATCGAGTCCTTCTTCAAACATTCTACTTACCTTCACTGATAAGGACAATACTACTCTGAATTCATCTTCAGTACAGGTTCATCAAGTAATCGGAAATCCTATGTCAAAATGCACTAACATGACAACTTTTGTTTTTGAAATAAACGCCACACATGAGATGAACCAATCAACAGCTAAATGTTCTTTGAGGGATTCAAGTGGAAAAATTCTAGAATCGAACGGATCCATAATTAATATTGTCTCAAGATTTGTTTCTGGTAAGTCCATATGAGAAGTTTTCGTTTTATACAATTATGTCTTTTATGAAGTCTGACTTTGGAAAATAAAGAGAGAGTTTCTTTGTAACTTTTCGTTTTTTCAGCTTATTCAAAAGAAGCGTCCAAAGTTTTAAACAAAAAAGTAATATTAATCCACTTAATTTAATTTTCAGCATATTCCACGATGATTTCCGCCTCTAATGTGGTAAGACCTCAATCAACTTTTGATGTCTTCTGTTACGTACATCTTGTTAACACTGACTGGGATGACATAACCTTAATACGCTATACAAATCAATCCGAAGAACTCGTTAAAATTTTCAAGAATGGTTCGATGATTTACAAGGACAACAGAATTAGTGCTGTTTACGAAGATGGAAGTACTCTTGTTAATGTGACGTTTTCTTTTAACCTCACTAAAGATTCTGATCAGTGTTCATTAACTGCCGTTTACGGATGTGAATTTCAAACTTCTGAAAGAAATTTAGAATCAGTATCCTTCTCCAATACATCTGTCACTGTTGTAGGTAAGTAGCTGGGTATTAGTAGAGACAGTGTTTCTCAAAAAGCAAATAAAGTCGTTTAAATTTAATAAAATTATACAGAGTATATTTTTAAGAAAAAACAAATATCACTAGACATTCTTCAAACACTAACTTTGATGCATTCCTTGAAATTGAAAAGCTTTAAATCAAAGTTTGTTTGATTCTTGCATATTCAAAGTACTTAAATCTCCTATATTTTAATTCTAAAAATTATTCTTAGAGAGCATCATCTGTAAAGATAAAAGAGCTAGTAATTGTCTATGTTGTCGACTGTTTTTGTTTAAAGGTTTGCCATCTGATGTTGAGATACACTTTGAACCATTGTATCAGTATGGAGATGAAGACTTTATAAATTGTTCAGCAAAAATGTCCACAATGTCATCCAAGCTATTGCTGGAGGTTTGCTTGGACGGTTCAGAGTTCGTTCCTTTTGAGAATCATACAAGACAAAGCCAGTCTCTTCTAGAAAGAACATATGTAAACGATAATTGTACCCAGGAAACGCATTTGATAACCACTACTGCTTTCAATGACAACATGAATGTATCTCTAAGATGCAGAGCCACTGACGCCTTGCTAAACATCACAGAGGCTACTAACTGTTCTAAACCCAACATCTCTACACCCACAGGTTAGTTTACATGACAAACCTCTTAAAATAGTTATATACACATGTATTTATTATACTAAAGATACTCGTATTGATAGACAAGTATTTTAAACACGCATTTTAACGGTTTAAAACTTCTTGAGCTCTTACTGTTTGTCATTCGTTCTCCTTCAGTTGGGGAATAAAGCTGGATTACCATATTCTCATATAATTAAATAAATACGAACCTTTGCAATATACAACCGTTAGCTCTTTTATACATACACTGTATATATATATGCATATGCGACGATGTTTTCCAATTGCACATTACCTGACATTTCAGTTGTATTTTGTAACTTTGATGTATATTTTTTAAACATTTTGTTATCAAATCTGTAACTTTTATAAATGTAGGTTTTTCAGTTTATTCATGCCTTTAGGCATTCTTTGTAGTTCAAGTTTTAATAGAACCAAGGAATCAAGTGGTGAAATTTGGAACAACAGTAGAAATATTTTGCTTTGCTAACGTAAGCAGCTTCGAATGGTCGGTCATTCATCTGAATTTTACAAATTCATCATTTTCACAAAGAATGGTTTCTACTTTTCCTAATGGAAAGACAACTCTATATGAGAAAATGATCAACACAACAACTCTTTTCCTTAGTTTTGGGAAAGTTAACATTACTTATCTCTTGAACATCGAGGAATGGATGGTCTGTTCCCTAGATGTAGAGTTCTCGTGCAGTATTGAATTACCAGACAGCAATATAAAAACTGTGAATGGAAACGGAACACTTAAAGTCATTGGTCAGTAAACAATTTTCATTGGTTTAGTATAATAACTTATGCCGTAATTGTTTTGCACCAAATGAATTTTCTTTCTCATTTAGGTGAACCTTCTATAATGGAATTCAAGCTTCAGGAACAGTATAAAAGCAGTTCAAACCACACTTTCAGCTGTGAAGCGAATTTTTATGACAATTCGACCACGAGTTTAGAAATACAGATTTGCGCAAACAATTCTTATGTAAACATCCTCAATGAGCCCGCTTTTCTTGTTAACAGCTCATTTGACAATTTCTTGCCAAGCGTTTGTATGCGACAAAAGGCCGTTTCATATTCTTTTGACTTCAGAAATGTCACAAACGGAACCCTGTTGAGATGCTATGCCGAAGATTTAGATTTAAAGATCAATACAACAACAGAATGTAAACCTCTGATACTGAAACCTGATGTTTCAGGTAGGATTATGACTATACAGAAAATTATTTTTTCACTGCTTTTAACTAAAATTTCATATAAAAAAGTTATTCTGTTTTAATATAAATATCTGTTAAATTAACCATTAGACTACAGAAGTACATGTATAATACTCGTGTGAATAGGTGAAATCAAAAGTAACAATTATCATAAATGCTTTTACACAGTGGTAGCAGAAATGACACCAACTCTGCTTTTTGCTAAATTGGATACCATGCCAGAAATGATTTGTTTCATACGTACCATGGGATATGCCTGGACAACTGTTGAAATTACGGGGCAAAACAACACTGCATCCAGTGTGGTTTTAATTGTTTACAATGACAGCAGAATAGAATCTATGGACTCAAGAGTGAATGGAACCGTTGTTATTGGAGATGATTATGTGAATGTCACGGTCATCTTAGATACCCACCAAGGATCAGATTTATGCGAGTGGAATAAATACTTTTCTTGCGACATAAAATCTATGGATCCAACAATTCAAACAACAGAGGCCAACAGTTCACTAATTATAGAAGGTAAATTCTGATTTCATTTTGAAATATTTACATTTGCTGTGTTTTTCTACTAAGCCAACTGTGAAATTGATTTGAAAGCCACTTTTGTGTATACTCACGCGTAGAAATATAAACGGAGAAACTCGCGCTAAAGTGACGTCACAATGAGGCTACAGAGACCTTACTAAAAATATGTCGATAGCGAGGAATTCAAACATTGAGTATATTTTTGGTGCATTTAAGCATGTAAAATGTAAATATAAGGAATGTTTTTAAGTTTAGTGTGAATTATTGGTGTGTAAATCACAAAGACTTGCACGTAGGCATATTTTTCATGAAGCGCAAGCGCGATTCATGAAATATGCCTTCGTGACAAGTCTGTGTAATTTACACGTACACCAATAACTCACACAAAACTTAAAAACATTCCTTAAATATAAATCTAACGAGAAGAAAACAATTATGCAAACATTAGTCATCTTTATGTAGGTTCATTGTCCATAAGCTTCAATATAATAGTTTATGTATATGGTACATGTAATAAGTCAATTTCTTTTAAAATTTGGAACTTTAAAAGGATAGTTTTCTGTTAAGCTATAAATCTCAATGAATTTCTTTATGACCTTTTGCAAATGATAAAGAAAAAGTGTTATAAATTGCGAAATATTAATTTTATATCCACTGTGCAACCTGTCCGCATATTACAATAGTACATACCTTTAATGGTAATACTGGTGTAGATATTTTGTCAATGAATTTACGATGAATTAAAACCCTATAGAAGCAAATATTTTCCAGTAATAAATTATTATGACATAGCTTTAGCTATATATGCTCACACTATATTTTTCATATTTTGCTAGGTCCTTTGTCTTCTATTGACATATCTGTCGAAAATCTTTACGTTAGTGGGTCCAATTCTACCATCAATTGTACTGCTTACGTAGGGAATAATACGGAAACAGAAGTAACTCTAGAAGATTGTCGAGAAGGGGACAAATACATGCCAATCAGAGAAGTAGCCAGAGATATTCTGAAATTAGATTACGATAGAGGGGTAAATTGCACAAATAAAATGATATATCGATATCACATACCCTTTCTGGACATTGGAAATGGATTGTCTGTCCGTTGTCATGGCAGGGATAATCTTTACAGTGAAAATGTTTCAACATCTTGTGAATCTATAAATGTCACAATGGGTAAGTGCTAATAAATTTGCTTTAAATACAAAGATATTCCATTTTCTTAATAAAAAATATTTATCCTTGTACTCTACACATTTTTGTAAATAGCAAATCTTATTTTGGGACATCCTTAACAATGATCATATTTTCATTTCTTAATTTTACAGCCCGTGCAACTTTGGATCCAAAAGTTCGCTATGGAAAATTCAACTCTACAGCTAGTTTTGAATGCAGAATTCCTCTGCTCGAGTCCTATTTTTCTGCATTCCAGTTTTTCAACGATTCGTCGTATCCACTTCTGTCAATTAATTCTGACAATAACTACACCATTCTACCACAGGATGATCGTATTTCTGCAGTATATACTAGCAATCAGTTTGATGAATACAGAACAGTGAATTTCACCTTTGATCTGAGACCTGGAGATGACATTTGCAACATAGGTGGTGTTTATCTCTGTAAAGTAAAGAGCTTTAACGAAAGTCTTCTTTTTCCTGAAGATGACGAAAGTCAATTGGTTATAGCAGGTAATTTTCATATCCAAATTATTCCGAATGTTAAATTAAACAACCATTAACCGAAGTTGACAAAGTTTACTTAAAAGGATATAGATATATTTTTTAGTTAGCTTCAATCTGTCAGTTCTTATGAAGGTAAACGTTTTGTACTGACACATGTATAATTATGAACCATTTTGTTTGATTGATCAACTTAAGTTGTATGATTAATCAATTATGATAATTATTATATTCAAAAGCTAATTTAAAATCCCCAAATGCTAGCGAATGGCGAATGGTGTTTCAGGCAATTCCCTTGAACTAAACACCGTGTAGTCAGTATTTCAAATGATAAATCACTTAATAATGAAATAAATGTCAGAGAATATGGATAACGAAATTTGATTGATTGAATGTATGCTGTTTTATGTCCAATTCGAAAATTGTTCACTCATATAGAGAAGTCACCATATACCGGTGAAGGGCTTCATATTTTGACCTTTACTTGGCACTCTGGGCCATTGAGCAATGAGGGATCTTTATCGTGCCAAAGTTAACGCCTTCCGTGACACAGGGCCTCGGTTTTTAAGTTTTCATTCGAAAGACCCGTAACTTTTAATTCAAAGTGCCGGGCGCTAGGCGAAGAAACAGTTGCTATCTATTTTTTTTTTTTATCGACTTAGGTCAGTCGAGGCCGGGGTTTGAACCCACGACCATTCCGATCACGGAGTGAGCGCTCTACCGACTGATCGAGCTACCGTTGCAGTTAACGAAAATTAAAGTTTAGAAAATGCTTAGATTTATCAACGTTCCAAGACGAGCAAGCTTTTTTTTAAATAATGAAAACTTTATGAATTATATGTCGAACAATCCTATACTAAATGAAAATTTCGAGAAAAAAAAATGAAATTGAAATTCCAAATGCAGAAGAATACCTTTCTTCGTCATTAACAGTAGTAATGAATACCCGGTAATTCTAACCCTTAATCTTGTAACATTTCAGCTCCTCCTTCAAATATAGTCATCGCAATTAAGGACAATTATTCTAAAGGTGCAATAAATGAGACCATCAACTGCACAGCGATTTTAAACCCTGATACAACAATATTAGCACTTGTGAAACTATCTGATGAAAGTTATGCGATGGTTCCAAAAAATATCACAAAAACTTCCATTGAACCTGCAAGGACTGAGGACTGTCGACATCTGGTTCGGGTGACGGTAACTACTACATTTGACCAATTTAATGCATCTACAGTGGCCTGCTTAGCAAAGGACAACGTATTTGGTGAATATTTTTCTGCCAATAAAACAATAACTATTGTTTAGAAGAATGATATGGGTATCATCTTGTGAGACTAAAGAAATCCATGTGATAATTAGTTTGATTTTTTTTTTGTTGCTCTAGATGCGTATGTATGCAATATGTAGTAGCATAATTGCCCAACACATTGTTTTCTTCATATCCACGAATGTTGATTTGGATTAAAAGGCAAATATACACGGGGAAAGTGAAAAAATTGTGCCGTTTTATAGGTTATTAATTGACATTCTTCAGTGAAGAATTTAGCTCCAGTCAGACACGGCAAATTTGCATTCATTTATTACATTGTTGAATGGAGGAAAAAATTAACATCGATATAAATTTATTGTTTTTGGATGAAACATATGGAGATAACGAACAGTATTCAAGCTCAAAAGTCCATTATACAATACAAAATAGGAGCAGAGCAAACACGGACCTCCAAACATCAGAGGTGGGATCAGGTGCCATGGAGGAGTGAGCATCCCCTGCCGACCGGTCACACCCGCCGTGTGCTCCTTGTCATGATCGGGAAATAACGGAAAAATCCGTCGACAATTCAGTGTGTAAATAATGGTCTAACAATTAGTATGAAAAACGTCAGTCAGCATTTAACTCAATGATAAATTGTATTTGCTGACAAGGTCATTGTATCGACCATAGAACTTACGAAATGATGACTTTAAACGAGACAGCTGATATTCTTGTTTCATCAACTTATTTGTCAATAATTTACCTCGTTTTAGAAATTGTACATACGTAGAGCATGCTCTTGCGTATCGAATCAACTGAGAGATATATACCCCGTATGCAGGTGATGAAGGTATATTGCTGCATAAGTAAGGGAAGTTGACGATTGAAAAGTTAAAGTCATCACGTTTATCATAAAGCTTGGTTGTTAGATTACTATTAACGTCTTTTTCAAGTAAAATATCCAAATGTAAAACAGATGTGTCAGACTCTGTGGTATCTTTTATCTCAAGTTCACAAGGATATATCGTATCGACGTAAGAATGAAAATAGCCATTGTTAATTGACAATACGTCGTCGATATATCTAAATGTCGAGTTGAACGCCACAGCGAGTGTTTTCTTCTTTTCACGTACAAGATTTTGGACAAATTCTGCTTCATATGAATACAAAAAAGGTCCGCTAATAACGGGGCGCAATTGGTACCCATAGAAATTCCAATAGATTGTTGGAAGACCTGGTCTCCAAAAACCACATAGATATTGTCAATCAGAAACTCAAGCATCTTTTTAATGTCAACTTCAGAGTACTTGTGTGTACAATCAGAATGTTTTTTAACAAAATAATTTTGCAAATGACCAATGACAAGGTAAGTATATTTACGAGTTCCATTTTTATTGAAAAAGCAGCTGTCAATGATATCAAAAAGCCTGGACTTTAATTTATCGTGGGGAATGGTTGTGTATAAAGTTGAAAAGTCGTAAGTTTTTAAGCTGTTGATTTTGGTAAAATCTTGTGATTTCAAATTTTCCAAAAGTTCCTTGGAATTTTTAAGTATCCACATCTGATTTACACCACTTCTCGATGTTATCTAATTTTGATTCTTTATTATTTAAAGCTAATACGTTATTCGACCTTCAGGAATATTATGAAGTCCAGGCTTCTTGACATCTTAGATAGCTGCCTATTCAATAAAAATGGAACTCGTAATTTAAATTATCTTGTTTGTAATTGGTCATTTGCAAAATTATTTTGTTAAAATCATTCTGATTGTACACTGAAGTACTCCGAAGTTTATATATTAAAACATGCTTGAGTTTCGGACTGACAACAATATCTATGTAGTTTTTGGAGATCAAGTCTTCCAACAATCTGTTGGAATTCCCAATCCAATTCAACCCCGCTTTTAGAAGACTATTTTTGTAGTCATATGAAGCAAACTTTATTCAAAAACATCTACATGAAAAGAAGAAGACTTATAACTCGGAGACATTAACTCTATATACAGGTGATAATGGTATATTGCTACATTAATAAGGGAAGTTGAGGTAGAAAAGTTGAAGTCGTCAAGATTGTCATAACATTTAGCTGTTAGGTTATCATCAACGTCTTTTTCCAACAAAATATCCATATATGAAACGGATGCGTCAAACTCAGTGGTATTTTTATTTCGAATTCAAAGAGATTTATCAAGTCAACGTTAGAATGAAAATGAATATTGTTAATTGATATTACGTCATCGATTTATCTAAATGTCGAGTTGAAGGCGACAGCAAGTGTCTTCTTCTTTTCATGTGAAGTTATAAATTCTGCATCATATGAGTACATAAGAATAGGTCTGCTAATAACGGCTCGCAATTGGTACGAATGGGAATTCTGACAGATTGTTAAGACCTGAAAATCTACATAGATATTGTCAATCAGAAACTCAAGTATGTTTTTATCATCTACTTCAGAGGACTTGTCTGAATGTTTTTAACAAATAATTTTGCAAATGACCAATAATTATTATCAATATATTACAATATGTTGTTAGCGGGTGGCAAACCCTGCATCTCTATTTAATTTCGTTCGTTATAATGCTTTTTTTTAGTGTTGTCAAATCGGACGATTTTGAGTAAACCGTTAGTCTCTTACTTTTCCGATCGAGTAACCGATGGATTTTCTTTAGCTGCAGAACTGTAGCGTTATAGTTTTATATTTTGGTCTTTGACCATACCGTTATGGTCAAAGACTAAAATATAAAACCATAACGCTACAGTTCTGCAGCTAGATTTTCTTCAGATCTAAAAAACACGGTATATATATACTTCAGTAGTAACTGTAATATACATTGCATGTAACGTCGTTACACTTTCTATATTTATCTCATCATCTGTATACCGGTACATGTATATACACAACACAAATGCACTGCATATGAATTTTATTTTTAATTATAAACACACGATATCTTCTCAAATAATTTTGTTCTCGAATACTCGTAATAAATGATTGTATTGCGGGATGTTCTTTTCATAACTGGTTTCAGAGTTAAATTCAGATTGAAATGGCTTAGCATATTTGTTCTCCCATCCTTATACGTTAATTCCATTGGAAAGATTTTTTACACCTAACGGACGTTATTGCGGTCATTTAAAAAAGAAAATATTCCCATGCTTTTGATGCACGTGGCGGCATCTTCTTTAATCTTGTAATGCACCAAGCATAAGTTTATGTGAGGTAATTATAATTAACTCAATTCCTCAAAACCTGTTTACCCTTGGCAATCAACACCATCAATTAGATAAACTGTGAAAGACTTATTAAATACTAATCAAAACATGTCAAATTTTACTATGTAAAATACTACATGTATATATCCGAGTAACCGAGTAGCAGTTTTACTAACCGGTACTCGCATCGTTTGACGGTTAACCTTGTACTCATTGACAGCACTACTTATTTTCGCTACATGTAAGTATAACTTTTTCATTTTGACTGAAATGCAACACAAAAGTATGAATTTATTTAATCAGATTATTTCACCGTGTTACAACACAACTAAATCCATCTACTGTCTATTTGGTCGGTCAATGTGTCATTCAACAAATTATGCGAGTCATTCAACCTCAATGACAATTACAGGCCTATAAAACGATAAAATATATGTGTTTACTTGCTTTAATTTAATTGTAAAATTATATCAATAATTTATTGGCTTTTAAGTTACTTTCAACTTGGAAAAAAACTAGTTTAAGACCTTTCTGATCTAAAAGTTGAAGATGATAAACATTTATCAGTCTCATATTAATTTATTGGAAAAATACAAATCTTAAACAGGTCAAAAACACGGACCCCAGGAAACACTAGAGATGGGATCAGGTGCTTGGGGGGAGAACCTCTGTGGGTCCAATGTATTGATCCGATAGATGGAGTAATCAGTAAACAATTTAGTTTATATTTCAAAAATACGACCCAATGATAGGTTGTATTTGCAAACAAGGTCCTTATAATGTCTGTGAATTGCAAAATTCCGATTAAGACGAGAATATTGAAATCTCTGTAACATCAACTTGCCTTTCAGTGCACTGCCTCATCTTAAAAATGGATCGTACTCGCAGCATACTCTTCTGTATCCAAACAATTGGTAGATTTAAAGACCATATGTAAATGACTGTGGAATGTTACTGCATAATACGATGGAAAACCTGGAAGTTGGCCATTATTGTCTATAGTCAGTAAAACATCCAAAATTTCAAATAGATATAGCATACTTTCTGGTGTCTTTTATTTTGAGTTCAATTGAATATATCGAATCGACATATGAATAAAAGTCACTGAAATTTTTTAATACTGACTCCATTGTTGTCAGTTTGGTTTTTAAAACATTTGGCGTGTTGCATTAGTAAACAGAGATTCTGACAGAACATGTCTGAACATTGATATTTGAGCACATTTTATGAATACGCAACACTAAGTATTACATTGTGCACAGGTAAGTACATTGAACAGTTTTAATGTACTTTCAAATGCCCGATAATGAAATTTTAAATCATAAAAAGGTTCAAAACTATTTGATTTAAATGAAAATGATTCTTCAAAAAAGTATTGTTGTACGAAGAGTAGAAGAAAAATAAAGCTGCGATCTAAAGAAATTATGCATTGTTAAGTTGAAAGGAAGCTCTGGAGAGAATTGTAGAATTGCAGTCCAATTTTAATGAAAGAGCAAGGTGTACTTAGGGCCCTTTTTGGCCCTGTGAATTTCTGAAAAATCAATACTGCTTAGTTAAAGTTGACAATACATTAAATTTCACTTGGGACCTGGGTGACTGCATATCTATTAAAATGACGTAATATTCTCTCTAGTCAGTGTATTATAACGTCATGCATTGCATCCTTATCCCCAAATCTTGAAAAATTCTTCAAAACGGCCAAAAGTTTAGGATATTTTTTCTCTCAATATTTTTGCAACCTCTGATCCAAATGTGCAGTTATATACTGAAAGAACCCTTTTTAAAGATTATGAGACAAATTTATTTCTTGGATTGGGTGGTGGGGTAACATTTTAATTTGATTTTAATTGCAATTTCACAAAGGAAGTTTCTTTTTTAAAAAATTGATCACTCAGAGGAAATTTTTTTTTTTATAGGAAATGAAACCACCAACTCTCTTTTAATTGATGTTTGAAATAAGACATTCGGTCAGT